AGAGAGAGAGAGAGAGAGAGAGAGAGAGAGAGAGAGAGACATCATGCATTTTTTTTTTCATGTTTTGGGTTTTTGACTTGCTTAGAGTACAAAGAAGAACATCGACACGATAACTACCATCTAGTACTGGAAAAAAGACAAACAAAGTGTTTGCTTGTTTGGTTGGTTGGGGGGGGGGGTAATTTTTTTTTAAAATCAATTTTTGTAATGTGTTAGGGCTAACCACCCGCATAGACAGACAGAAATAACAGCGAAAAAAGAGTACAAACTATTAGTCTGGCGTTTTGTTTTAAAAGACTAAATTATCCAGTTTCGCAAAATGTTAGGGGGAGCCAAAAGTACGCATTTTTGCCTTTCAACAGCCAGTCGCTCTGAAAATCTTCAAAACGCTTTCCCCACCTTATTTATTAAGATAGCGATACCAGACTAAGGTAGAAATGCGTTCTCTGTACGTCGAGTTTTACTATCGTACCCATACGACGTGGGGAACTCTGTGCCACCACTTAACCCTATCCGTACGTCGTGATTTACTATCGTATCCATACGACGTGGTGAACTCTGTGCCACCACTTTCCAAACAGGAAATTTACTCGTTAATCCAATCCGTACACTTTGCATAGCAGTCTGTCAAATGATTTTTTGAGAAATACTGAAAGTTTCAATGAGATCTTCGCACTAGAAGTATTCTAAAATGTGAAGAATATAACCCCGGGGGTACAAAATGACCTCAGGGCGTACAGATAGGGTTAAACTATCACAGGTGGATTCGGTAGCTCAGTTTCGCCCAAAACTGGATAATATACTGTCTTATTTGGTTTGAGTAAGAGTTGTACGGCACTGGCAACCCAATAAGGTCATATAAGTGCCGAAGATTAGAGGTGTTACAAGAGAGTAACAAACACAAAAAAGAAGGAGCAGAGATAAGGACGATAGATGTTTGATAGGAAAGAAGAAGAAGCAAACCACACCAGAGCACCCGCCAACGACCCACTGACACCTTCTAACCGACCCCATAGACAGACAGAAACGACAAAGAGAAAGAACAGAAATAGCAGCTACTAACTAGGGGCGCCACCCTCCAACCAACCACCTTTCTGGATCGATGTAGAAATACATAACACAAATGACGTGGCTTTGACCCCCAGTAACTTACAAAACTGACCGCTGTCCAGTGAACAAATGGGAGGCATCGTGGTGAAATCAGGCGCTCGTCAAAATAATGCAAACTAAGATATTGGCATTTTTTTCGTCAAGTTTGACAATTTTATTTTCAAATCTTTGTTTTTTGGCTCAACACCTTTTATGTCCTTTTACAAACATTTCTGTGAGGATTATACAGGAAAACGTCGAATAAATGCACAGCAAATGTAAAGTTTAAGTTTCCAGGGACTCTCAAGCTTTGGAAATCAACAAACTTTAGCTACCATTTCCCGCTAGTTTTATCTCTGAAACCAGGCCACCCCCACCTCCTTCAGTAGCAAATATCTCCATTTTTATATATAAACGTGATGCGTTTGTTTGTATTTTCACCGAAAGATAGTCAAATGAACGAGCTTTAAGATGATACCAATAACTCCACATGACTCAAAATTGACGAGCGCCTGATTCCAACGCGTTGGGACACAAATTAATGCATCCGTTTTCTCGAGCACACGGACAGAGAGAGAGAGAGAGAGAGAGAGAGAGAGAGAGAGAGAGAGAGAGAGGGGGGGGACGGAGAAATGCAGATGCAGAAAGGGAGGTTGTGGATAGAAAATAATTCATAACATATTTTATTGCTCTGTTAGAGTAACGTTGTGCTGGATTGTTCTTTTTTTTGTTGTTGTTCAAACTTCAAACGTGCTTTTCACACCTTCTGCACATTTTGTGCGAAACAAACCATCAGCAGGAAGCGATTGTCAGGCGGAACAATTGTAACTATAGCAGCATCCAACAACACACAACCAAATTAGATAACAGAAGACAATCGTAACCGGCAGCTACATTGAGCAGATTGCTGCTTCTTTTCGATTTTATGAAGAAAAAAAAAGAGAAAGGGAACAAGGATTTGTTTAAGCCATTACGGCTTTAAAAAAAAGAAAAAGATTGTTACACTTTCATCAGCACAATCAATTTAGATCACCTTGATGTGGGTTTCGACCATGCCAGTCAGGCAGGGCCAACCGTGGCTGAGATAAATACAACGTCCTTGCAGAATGACCCAGTTAAGTTACTCCATAAAAGATTCTCCTCTACACAGGAAACGAACTCAGGTCTTCTCCGTGCGACGGCGAAGCGCCTAAACACTACACCATAGACACCGATACATTATGCTGGGATCACATTTAATTAGGGGAACTCTCGTAGTCTAGAGGTTAAGGTGTTTGCCTCTTTTCCAAAGGTTCTGGGTTCGAATCCGGATAGTGAAAGACATTTTTCTTCTCTAAAATTGTCTCCTTTCATTTTCTCGTCTGCTTTCGTCTCCATTTTCTG